TCTTTTTAGCAGACAAAATTCTGACGGACCGAGTTGCCACATGAACTAAAAAAGTTTTCAGACAAAGGGATACGGCTGAAGCAATTTTTTCTGGAGTGCACAAGTCTGCTGCGTTACTGTCTCAAGGGTTTGAAAAACATATGATGCCAGTGCTTTAAGGTGCTAGTATAGGATAGTTGCTTAACCGTGTGATTAGTGAAGTCATCTGTTATTGTTTGGAGTAATGTTGCATTTAGAAACACAGTTCTTTTTCCAAATCCTGCTCCTTCCCCTTGAGGAAGATGTAGTGCTGAAACATTGGGGTGTTGTGGTCTCCAGCTAGGGTCAGTATACCTGTTGTTTCACTTGTGTTTATGCATTGAGCACTATGTTTGCCTAAAATGTTGTGATTATTTGTAAGATGAATACTCTGTATGTTTGCACTTTATTACTTATATGTGTTTATTAATGCATTATGTGAATAAAACTTTTTGTGCAATATGGTTTTGGTATCTGAAAACCTGTAGGGGACACAGGTCATTCTTGCTTGTTTAGCACCCTGCACTTTACTAAATGCATGATTCACAAAATTAACCTTTAACAATTGAGCGCTTGCTATATTATTTTCGTAAATCCTTTCTTTGATGTGACCAGATCATTGAATAAGCCACCTGTTAGAGGATAATCTTTAGAGTTGACATGCACAGGGGTGAACGTATTTCATTTTTTTTAACGGGGGCATAGGTGGGGCTTTAGGAGTGTGTCCCATCAGTGAATCGGTGCTCTATGCATTTCTACCAGAAATTCCACCTACTATCATAAATTGTGGCTCACGAACCAACGTTATATTTCAATTGTGAATCCATAAAAAAAGGTCTATGGATTGAGATGATAGTGAATGGAAAATGTTCATAATAAGGGGAATTTTTGTAATGAAAAACAAATGACACAAACACGGGATTGTTTGCCTTTTTTATTAGAGCATGAGTATATTAGAACAAAGAAGCCTTTGCTCTCTTTTATTTTCCTAAGTTCATTGAGTTCCTCTTGTGCTATAAATCTACAATGGTTAGGAAGTCCTTTGATTAGAGAATCCATCTGAAGAGAGATATGTGTACTGCAATACAGGGATTTAATGGACTTATTCAATTCTAATACCTTTCAATTTAGCTGGTTTTGAGGCAAAGCATTTATTTTTCTAATATTAAATTGTTTTACAAAATAAAATATTAAATGATAGTTTTCCTGGTGGCTGTGCAAGTGGAGCATGGGTATTTGTGAGTACACAGTTAGCTTTGACTTTAAAGGCCCTGTCCAAGAAACTAATTAATACGCAAAGAAACCATAACTAGTTACAGCAAGTGCAGAATGTTAAATCATCTGTGACCCCTGTCAAAGGGAATGGCTATGTTTTATGTAGATATACCCTATTACATTACAGTCATTTAAAGGAATACTCTAAGCACCAAGACAACTTGGTTTAGCTTAAGGAAGCCGTTTTTGTGCATAGACCATGCACCTGCAGTCTCACTGCTCAATACTCTACCATTCAGGAGCATTAGTAGTAGAGATGGACACAGGTGCCTGGTGGACTTCAGTCAGAACTGAAACCATTCAAAAAATAGTTTACCTACTTACAAGTTACCTAGTATTTACTTTAAAGATGAGACCCCATAATTCTTTTCATGCCGGCCTGTAAACAAAATCTCAATTTACCTTTTCACCCTCACCCCATGAATCAATAAGATATATTGTACAGATATTTTCATCAAATGCAGTTTTTAATACTTTCCAAGACGACATCCATTTGGAAAAACAAAATGGCACCCCAGACATCATCACATTATTAGGTCATTTCCAGTAATGCTTTGAGTTCTGGAGGTGGAACCCGCTGAGAGTGTCCTGTCTTCCTGTACACCGTTCCTTTTGTGATTACTGCCCATGATGTGCACCATTTGTTTCTCTCTCTCTACACTTGTGGTTTTTTTTTTAATTCTGTTTACCTCGTGAAATAAACTCTGTTCCTTTATACCTGCTTATGGCATAATAAATATTGTCCTATAGTTTTCTGTCACTCAATGGGCAGGTTTACATTTAACATTTTAAGTATAAACACATTGCTGTAATTTGCACTGTGTTCCATTTAGACAAATATGCAGGGAAACTGTCATCTAAAATGAAAGATGTTGGCATGAACATGTACAGATTATTCTAAATTCAGTTAAAAACTGAATTCACCAACTCAGCTATTTAAACAAATGAACATCTTATGCTGTGTGTGTATGGGGGGGCAGGTTGTATGAGGGGTACAGTATGTGTGGGGGTGGGGGCAGTGTGTGTATGGGGGAGCAGTGTTTGTGTATGGGGGAGGTGTGTGTGTATGGGGGATAAGGTGTGTGTATGGGGATAATGTGTGTGTGTGTGTATATGGGGGGTAGTGTGTGTATGGGGGGCAGTCTGTGTGGGGAGGACAGTGCATGTGTATTGGGGAGCTATTGTGTGGGGTGGGGTCTGTGGGGGTAGGAGAACAAATTAATAAATATATATTTAATTTTTTTAATTAAAAATAAAAATGATGTACCCCCTCCCTTCTTAACTTAGCCTGGAAGGGGGACAATTCCTGCAATCCCTGGTGGTGATAGTGAACTCTAGCAGCCTCATGAGCTGCTAGAGTTCACTCTCGCGAGATTTGGAGCGCTGCCGTGGTAACCGCGGCAACGCTCTAAGCTCGCGAGAGGAGAACCCAGCAGAGCTGCATGTTAGAGCTCCCCAGGGTTCTCTCTCCCTCCCTCTCCTGCTGGCTGTCAGCAAAGTGCTAGCCGGCTGGAGAGGGAGATCTCTGATCTCCCCTCCAGTCCTGCAGAGCCGCCAGGGGAGAGCACAGTTCCTGGTGCTATCATCATAGCACCCTGTGTGCCTGCTAGGTCGCCGCGGCACACAGTTTGGGAAACGCTGGTATATACCATGAACAGTGAATACAAACATTGTTTTATATCTTCAAGTCCTCTTGATCACCATCTTTCTTTTACAACAAATTGCACCATAGTTCTAGTAGATATAACCTATTACATATGTCAGCTAAATTGCAATCCCGACTGGCCTCCGCCTTAATAAAGTTTTTTTTGCCCACTACCCCAATACACACACCGTTTCTAACAATAGGTTTTCAAAATCCTTCTTCCATTACTAAGTAAGCAATTATTTTCACATGTCACATGATTCCACACCATTTCACTGTATTGAATACAAACAGCAGGTTTGGCAGCTCAGGTATTTAACACCAAGTGCCCTCAGTCCATCACTGCAACAATGTCACCAGATCCAGTCAATAATTGTAATAAGTCTTGCCCTTTTCTTATACTTAATGGAAGTGAAAAAAACTAAATAATGTTTCTCTTCTTCTCCTTATTTGCATTGTGTGCCCTGAACTGAACTGTGATGTCAATTGTTAAATCTTATATTTTTTATAATATTATAGAAGTTACATGTGATTTTCAATATTTAATTTAATGGTATATTGACAGTTCTGATTTATGTTAAAATTAATTTTATGATTGATAAAGCCCTGTTTCACAAAATAGATAGGCAAGTTTGATTCATTTTTCAAATGAGCTTGCTTACAGTCTAAAGAAAAATCAAACATGGTCATTGAAAATTAACAGGATCTAAATCCATTTCTATTTAAGACTTAAATATAGATATTCTTTGCTCAGTCTTTTAATAGATAAGGTTTTTATTGTGCTTAATAAATGCAAAGTAGTAAGGATTATAATAATGTTAGAATTTTAACCTTATTTACTTGGCTTTCTGAGTTTAATTTTATCGAAACAAAGCCACGAATGATGGGTTACTTGTGGTTCAAAATGGGTGCCACACTCCTAAGAAAAAAGAAACAGGAGAAAATTGCTATATTTTATTCTTAAAATGTCTAAAATGTTTCCTTTTTTAAAATCTTACATGTTTTGCATTTTAAAAAGAGAGACTATAACATAGTAGATATGTAACACTGATGCCTAGCTATAGGTCATCCCACGAGACCGCGGGAGCATCCATAGGCAGTGGCGTACTAAGGGGGGGCAGGGGGGGCGGTCCGCCCCGGGTGCCACCAGGGTGGGGGGTGCCATGACCAGCCCCGCCGCCCCCCCCATGCTGCAGCCGCCCGAGCGCTCTGTAAAGCACAGGATCCGCCCCGGGTGCCAAATGCTCTAGGTACGCCGCTGTCCATAGGTCAAGTCTCATATAGATCAAACTGCAACCACCATAACTACTGACTTCTGCTTTTTCAAGTGGTCATGGTGGTAGGAATCTGTATGTGCAGTGTTTCTGCATATTTGATCTGAAGCCTATGACTAAGTGTTCATACAGCACAAATCAGTGTTGTGTCTGCACTTCTAGCTCCTCCATCACACGGAATCTTGTTGTTTTACACTTTGTTGTATTTGCTAATATCATCAGTACCTGACAACGTTTATTATCGCCCTGGAGCAAGTGTATCTCATATCCTCTGTTCTTCCAGGATTAGTTGCATCAGTTGTAGAGAGAACTTTTGTTTGTCTTGAACGCATTGCTAAAACATTTATTATTTTCTGTTCCTTTATGAAATATTCCTGTTTCCTAGAAATCATTCTCTATAACCATTTTTTTGTTTTGTTTTTAGGTTCTATGTGAGGCTTAGAAGAATGAACAGAACCACCAATCCATAATGCCTAGCAGTATGTCAGGTAAAGAAATGCTTAATTTCACTGATGATTTATTTAATATTGTGTATTTACATTTATATGTCTTCAGTTAACAAGAAAGTCTTCTCTTGTTATGTCTTTTATGAATTTTGTTGTAATTTTTATGAATTTTGTATGTTTTTATTCATCCTTGTATGTAGTTTAGATATATTTTATAGGCATAGGTTTCTCCTGCTTTTTCTCAATATTTGTGCTAGTGACATCTATCTGTATATTATAACAGGGCTTCGCAAATTTGTTTGGAATCTAGGAGCCAGCTAAAAAAGTTGTTTGTTTTTTAAAGGGACACTATAATCACCAGAACCACTACAGCTTAATGTAGTGGTTTTGGTGCCTACAGCCTGTCTCTGTAGCCTTTTCAATGTAAACGCTGCATTTTTAGCTGCCTACTAAGACCTCTAGTGGTTGTCACTCAGACTGCCACTAGTGAGTCCTGTCTCAGTTCTCTGCATGGACGCGCTGAATGTTGCCCCTACAGAATATGCGCAATATTCTCAGCAGTGGCTTAGCTGAGATCACATAAGATTGATGAACTCGGCAATGGAGGCGGGACAAGCCACAGCAAAACCTGCACGGTGTGGGGGAAAAAGGTGAGTAAAAACACCAGTCATGTGATCGGAGAGGGGCAGGTACCTAAACAGACACACACTCTCTGACAGACATACACACACGCACACAAACTGACAGAGACATACACACACACACACTGACAGACAGACATACATACACACACACTGACTGAGGCATACACACACACTGACAGAGGCATACACACACACTGACAGAGGCATACACACACACACACACACACTGGCAGAGGTATACACACACACTGATAGAGGCATACACACACACACACACACACACACACACTGACCTAGACATACACACATACACTTTCTCAAACACTCACAAATTTAAATTTTTTATTTTAATCCACCTAGCCTCCCTACCTTTGGGAGAGCTCAGTGGACTTCCCCTAATTCCCTGGGGTCCAGTGGGGCTGCTCTCTCTTCCTGTGTGAGAGGGAGCAGCAATCTACCATGCAGCTTCTCTCTGCTCCCTGTGATGCCGGGGTTGGAATGACATCATATTCTGGCTCCCGGCATCATCAAACAACGCGAGGGAGCAGAGAGGAGCTGTAGGAAAATCACTGCTCGCTCGCACACTGCCCCAGCCGACCACCTTGATGCTCCACTGAGCCGGCCGCCTCAATAAAGCCCAGGGTGGCCGGCTACAACACTCACTCAGCCAGCCAACTCCAGGAAGCCCAGGGCGGCCGGCTACAATGCTCACTTAACCGGCCGCCTCCATGAAGCTCAGGGCGGCCGGTTACAACACTCTCTGAGCTTGCCGCCTACATGCTCCCGCGGGTGAGACAGCCGGCTCCATTATTTGCCCAGCCAGGCGTTTTAGATAAAAAGCTGACAAATCCCAGATGCCAGGGCAAAATGTTTAGTCGCCATGGCGACCTGGCGCCTGAGATTTGTCGAGCCCTGCATTATAATATATTGCAGCCAAAATTATCTACGTTTTGGTTCAGATGCTTAAAAAAAAACACGTTAAGCACCATAACAACTACAGCACATGGTAGCAGTTATGGTGCTTCCTCCCCGCCCCATTGTTGTTTTTTGTTTCTCACATCACAATAGAATGAATCACATGATGCAACTCGTTTTCAGAGTCATCATAGAAAACAAATAAATATGAATGAAACTTGCAATGTGATATATTCTGTGAAATAAACATATAGCATATAAAACACTGAAAGAGCAGTAAGATGCATAGCTGCAGTATGTGTGATGTGAGAGATTTTTTAATATAGTGAAACGAAACAAAACACTTTAGGTCAGGCACATAAAGGAGAATCACAATAGTGAAAATATTGTGAAAGGCATCACGTATCATGTTTTTCAACTGAATTATACAACAACACAAAAAACAGGTCAGCCAATACCATCCAAAGGCAGCGAAGATTCCCACCAGGTGAAATGCAACTGAAAGGTTATAGGCCCTGGTGTGCGTAGGTGCCCAAAAAAACATTAGCGTTGATTGAGGCTCACTATCTGAGTTGGTGAGAGTGGCTTCATGGCATCCCCAGTCATCTTGTCAGCCAGTCCCACCAGGCTATCTCTCAAGTAGAGTAAGCCACTGACTATGGGGCTTCCAGGCTCCCCTATTTCTGTGACACTAGATGTGACTGTGCAGCATGGCAGTGATGCCCCACCCCATACTTTGACTTCTTACCTGGGGTCCACTGGGTGCCCCTCCCTGCCTGTACTACTTCCACTGGAGAGCCAAAAGCTAAATAAGCAGGAACTTCTATTGGCTCGCCTGAGCTAAGCCCAGCAGTATAGGGCTAGATCCTTGGCTGAAAGTGTCTTCTGGTTGACCTCAGTTTATGAACTAAGCCATGCATTGCTTTAAGCTCTCTTCCTCTGAGGTTGTGGAGGCAGGGAGCAGCACTTGGTGGACCCAAGAAAAGTCAAAGATAGTTTCATTGCTTAAATGAAAGGATACCAGATCACTCCTGGCACTATAACCACTACAGTGGAGTGTAGATGTTCTTGTACTTCTTTTAAAGGAACACTACAATGTAAGGACTATAAAACAGCATTCCTAATGCTATAGTACCTATAGTTAACTATAGGTCCGCTCACCCACCATTGAAGAAAGGTTTAAAACCCTTTTTTCTCTTATTTGATTCCAGCGCTGAGGTCCCTCAGAGCTGGCTTTGTCTCTTCCTCCTCCGAAATCATGGTGATGAGCGTTAGTCCTTGCTCATCAGAAAGCATTGAATCAATGCTTTCCTATGGAGATTTTGAAGACGCTGGATGTCCTCATGCAAAGCATGAACTCGTGAAAAGACAGGAAGTACCTCTTTCTGGAAGACAGCCATTACAGGCAGTCTTAACTCTGCAATGTAAACATTTAAGTTTCTATAATATTTTACATTGCAGGGTTAAGGGAACAGGCACTTCACCCAGACCACTTCAATGAAATGAAGTGGTCTGGGTGTCTATAGTGTCAGTGTAATTGGGCAATTATTAAAAGCAGCCATGGTAGTAAACAAGACTCCTCCATTAGGAGTTTTACTCTTAAAAGTTAGTTGCAAAAAGAAACCGTGAAAGTGTTTTGACATTTGGAGCTTGATCCGATGTTTGGAAAAGGTGATACATACTGGAAAAGTCACTGTATATTATCCCTAAGCATAATCACGTCCACTCTATTCATTCAACAAGAATACAAATTAATTTTTTATTGCAAATCATCTAATTATCATGGCTCTATTTCTGTCTATCTATCTATTTATCTACCTACCGATTTTGCATTTATTAGATGTTGGCCTCCTCTGTTTTGATTGTTTATTTTGTTAAGTTAACACTGTCTCATGAGACAGTTACTGTATTTTATAATTAGACAGTTGAAACTATGACAATGGAATTTCTCAAAGGACTTGAATATGGTTAGAAAGGAAAGTAGTACATTTTCACAAAAAGATAATCCTGAATATGGTAGAGTTTGACACCAGATTTTGGGTCTACGTCATTCAATCTTTCGAAGAAATAAACCTTAACTACTACTGATGTTTAATTGGTGGGAGGGCCGAGGAGGCCTTTAATTGCAATTGCAAATGTTTTCAAGCAAGGATGTGAGAAAGCCATGGACCAGATTGGAATAGCTAAATATTAAAAGGACATTATTTTATTCTACATGATCTGAACATTGATTCCTAAATGAATATTATGTCTGTGATTGATATAGATTTTTCCACATGTTTTGCAATATGTTTTTTTTTTCTTTTTTTTTTTTCTTGGCTTTACATAGGAGGATATTTATTAGGCATTAACAAGTTATATAACTGAAAATGCCTTTATTTTTTTGGATTGTTATTTTCAAACTGATGATTATGCTTTATTGGGTTCTAAATCTTAGCACTTTTAGTAATTTGCAGCAGAACTGCCCATCAGATATAAAAAAAAAAAAACTCTCAACCAGGTGAGTTTTTACATGGCATTGGAAGACTGTCAGTGCCAAATCACACGAACAGAGTACAATATATAAAGAGTAATAAGGAACAAAGTATAATATAGGTGCTACTATCACCTAGTGTGAACCACTCCAACACACCAGATATCAATAAAGTGCAAAATATAAAATGGTGGTGAGAGCACTCAAAACATGCATGAATGATATATTACCAAAACTTGATTGAGTTGGAATATCTACAAAACATGAAACACAAAAACATAGTATAATATTGTTAAAATATATACAAGTAATATGAGGTAACTGGTTGAACTCACATATTACTGAGTCACTTGAAAGCTGACTCAGACTTAGGGCTTATAACGAGATGAGAAATCTCAATTTGTGGACGTCCTGTATCACACTTGGTAGATCCGCACTGGAAATGCTCTCCAAAATCACTCCAGGATGCAGAATCAAATCCAAACTGCTTTTATTATTAAAATACTACATAAAATTAAAAATGATAATAAGTACAGAAAAAATGTCCTTTAACACGAACAGAGTAGTTTGCAGGGTATTTTGTATGGCCCATAATCCTGGGGCAGGAGGCTGGCTAGCAGGCCCATCCATGAGCTTGTGGCAAACGACCAGACCACAGGGCGTTTGTCACAGTCCCCTTAATTGTACCCTCACACTTGTTAAAGGGACTTGTCTGTGAAAGTGCCACAGCTTTACAAACTTTAAAATGTTAAAAGTAATATTTTTATATATTTTTTTATTTATTGGCATATTATTAATACATAAAAAATATGGGTTACGTCCTGCCCAGTGTCTTTAATTGTGTACAACTATAAATCTGTATGTGAATGCCACAGTGTTGTGCTTTTTTAAATCTAAAGCTATTGAATGTATCTACATTTATCTAAATCAAATGTGTTTTCTCAGTATAAATCTACGAGGTGAAAGTGCCTTTGTTCTGATTTCAATATAAGCCTCCGAAGATACGGTATAATAGTTCTGATGGAATATTGTGCTTCCTCAATGTAAGCTTATGAGGTTAAATTGCATTTTTTCTAACATCAATGAATCTATTAACCCCTTAAGGACACAACTTCTGGAATAAAAGGTAATAATGACGGAATATTTCCGTCATGTGTCCTTAAGGGGTTAAAACTATTGTTACGCTATTATTGTTAATAAATAACTTGCATAATCACCCACTAAATGCAAACATTTATATTGAAATAGGAATTTCCTAACTTTAATATAACTGTTACATGCATTATATAGGCTTCTGTTGAGGAGGCACACAATTTAACAGAAATAAATAATACATTGAATATTATTCAATACAATAAAGAAGTAAACAAATAAATAAAGCAAAGACTAATGAATGTTCTCCGGGACATTCATTCACCCAACCAAATGTTATTTCATCATCATTCCGAGGATTGCAGCATAGACATGGACATTATTGGATGACCTCATACATAACATGATTGGGTAAGAATACATATGAAATTAAGGTATAAGCAGAGCATTCAGACAACAGCTTAGAACAGATGTAAAACTGACAAAATGAAAACCAGACCTACAACATAATTTAATTGTATACACATTAACATCAATTTGTATTTAATATAGAAGTGACATTTTAAGACAGGATTGCTATATAGTGTATGTTGATTGGGTGCCCGTTTGTATGCCAATTAAAAGAGATTGTTTGCCTCTGTGATCAAGGATATTCATTATTTCAGTATTTTTGAGCATTGTTCTAAAGCCACCTGCTCTAGTTTTTAATTTTACTGTGCACAAATTGGTGCTTGGAAACACTACTATGAAGACTAGAATGGAACTTGATTTTTTTTATCTGGGAGAAGGACTGCATGTTTTATTTCAGTGTAATGTACATATACCTTCCAGCAGTCCCAGGTAGGACAGTCTGATTTTGAGATGTTGTCCCATTTTCCTGTCTTTGCTCTCTGGCATTCCCCTTCTGTGGACACCAAGTCCTTATGCAGAGCAGGGGGAGTGCATCTTACACATGATTGCTTTGTACATAGTGCACAGGGGACATTCAGCCCATATGAAGAAAACTTCAGAAGCACTCTGTGTAAGAGCAGTCATCAGTGGTGCTGGTTTAAGAGGCTTGCATGGATCAGCTTGGCAGGAAAGTACCAACGTTTGGGTGCTTTCCTCGCTTAGTTTCCTGATGTCCCATTTTTGGGGACTGTCCCCAAAAGTCATAGTGTGAGCGCATCATTAAATGCACTCGGGCTATGTACAGGGCACAGTGACTCTGGAGAAAGCCCTGAAATAGTATTCCCTGCACGGTCTGCTCCCAATGGGCCACTCACTGCTTGATTGACAGCCTGGTAAGGCTGACCTGTCAATCATATGGATGGACCCCCCATTTCCAGGGGGTCTGTCCCTATAGGTGAGCCAGTGAAAATCGCAACACTTGTCTGCCCCATTTTCCCCCATCCCGCCGGCTTCACGCTACGGAGGCCTCTGAAATTGGGAGGTATAATACATTCACAGGCCAGCTCCCACTTGCCTATCCCCAATTTAATCTCTCAATGTGCCTGTAGAACATTTTAAAATTTGTATAGTACAAATATAAATGCATTTATTTAAACACAGCAACATTCTGAAAATGCCTACAGAGTTTAAGTTACAAAATTACATTTTTACCTGTTGCAAACTCATACGGCAGCCATATTAGAATTTCATCTGTTATTTGTTCAGGCGGGTGGTTTTTCAACTGCATGCCCGTTAAATCAATTTCCTGAGAAAAATGTTTACTTAAAATGTTGAAAAATATAGGCGTCTTTGGTGTACAGGGACCTAATAGTTTCATGTACTTTTACAGGAGTACATTGTGTGTTTGCATTTATGACTAAAGGGAAAATAAACAAGATTGCTTTTTTTATATACTTTATTAACTATGATATTCCAAAACGATTCACTCTTTAATTCTTTCACCCAGAAACAAGAGCCAAGAGGGATTCCACAGACTCGTGCAGAGCTGAAAATTCATTGTGTAAATATTCCTGCCATTATTTTTCTTTACTGGTAATTAGAACTAAGCTACAGAGGTATTTTAGACTACTCAACTTTGTGACTTTTCGAGTTCCATGAAAAATGTTCAAGTTAATCCACATGTCTTCCTACCCAATCAACAGACAGCATACTGTTTAGACTAGTTTTATCCAGGGTATATAGTGATAGCTGTAAATTTGGCAAGTTTTAGTTTTTTGTTTCTGAAGAATACAAAATGGTGAACCATATGTTTTGGCAAAATAATGCAACTCAGGGCTTCTGGAGACATCATAATAAACCAAGAGATCAAAAATCGAGAACTTTTATGAATGTCTTAACCCTGAGATGTCATTGTTTTCCGCCAACCCTGTTATGTATCTTTTTTATTACATGATAATTTAGTGTTAGGGTTTGGGGGTAATATTAAAGGGACACTGTTGTCACCAGAACAACTATAGTTTAATGTAGTTGTTCTGGTGAGTATAGTCAGTCCATGTAGGCTTTTTGCTGTAAACACTGTCTTTTCAGAGCAAAGGTAGTGTTTACAATACAATCCACAGATGGCTACTAGAGGTGCTTAATGTTGCAGTGCTGCACACCGTGCAGCACTGACATTCAGTGTCTTCACCCTCTGCATGAAGACACTGAACTTTCCTCATAGAGATGCATTGACTCAATGCATCTCTATGAGGATATGCTGATTGGCCAGGGTGGTGTTCAGCTCTGCCCCACCTCCTTGGCTGAGATCATCAGAATTGTCAATCTCAGCCAATCACATGCTTTCCTATGGAAATGCATTGTGATTAGCTGAAATCATCACTTTTGATGATGTCAGCCAAAGAGGCGAGTCAGAGGCAGAACCAGCACCAGGAAACTGGAATAAGGGCAAGATTTTATTATATTTAGTGGGGAAGAGGGGCTACAAAGTGTTTTTAACACTATAGGGTCAGGAATACATGTTTGTGTTCCTTACCCTATAGTGTTCCTTTAAGGTGAGGGACCATGTTACTATTGGGGGAGGAGTTTGTAGTTCTTTAATGTTGGGGTAACATTGAAACATACATGTCAGAATCTGCCATCAGTGAACACCACTCACATGAATCTTAGGCAGACCTAGATGCATATGTTACAGCAATGTTTTCAAACTAGTTACAGCATAATGTATAACATTGGTCAAACTGTGCATTACAAGAAACAATGCGGGGATCTGGCACCCACTAAAAAGTTATTTTAATGATATATATTATGTTAACAATTTTGTTCTAATTCTTAGTTAATAAACCAATCATGATAATAGTAGCAATTATATAATAATACACAATGTCAATATAACGATGATAAGACAGGAGAATCATTTGAATTCTTACTGAACATCAAAGGGAACAAAGAGTTAAATACCAGTTTTGGGATTTTTGCGTGGTTGGAAAATCACATTTTGCCACTGTGAGCTTTGGAACAGTCTTAAATTGAATACTTGTAAAAATGTTAGGCTGACAGCAATCAAGCCTGAAAGATATACTTATCCAAGGTTGCAGGTAGCTTTTGGCAGTGTGCAGCTATGCCGTGTAACTATTTGTGCTTTATAAGTTCAGCTCTGTAGCCTTGATAGTCTTCCTCCTATTCTGCTTACTGCTGTACAACTGGAGTTATGCATACACAGGTCGAATGAACGATGTGATATATTTGCCCATGTTATATAAACATAGAAATAGGAAGAATGCAAAAATCACATTTTGATATGCAATACAATATCATTTAGAAAGTGTGTCCGGAATGTCTTTTTTTTTTTTTTTTAAACCTTATAATACTGTAAATTTGTAATTGTAAACATATCAATAAGAGGAAATTGCTATTGGGAAATTGATATACTATTATCCGGTTCCTGGTAATTTTTTTAAATTCTTTATTTTTGGCATGTCATTGCAATACGGTGTTGTAACAGATTGTTCATTCCACGTTATTAGCATTTAACAACTTGGGTAGTATTACAAATTGTTTTTCAATGGTCAATAATATACCTCGTCACAATATGGTATGTGCATTGCTTGTTGATGACATAGATCTTTTTCATTTTTTTTTTTTAAACCACAAACAGAGTAATCTGTAGTTGCCTTATAGAATCGTAGCGTCGTGGAGTGAGCCGACTAATGTGGACCTTATCCTCTTGTGGTTGAATTTGGGCAGTCGCGGTCCCACTCCAGCAGCTGTGATTGCTCATAATTAGAGGTTACCGAAAGAAAAGTGGATAGAAGGAGGGGCAGGGGGGGGCGGGGAATGGGGAATAGTCCCCCTCATGGTGTATGTTGTAGCGCTATAGGAGGTTCGACTTAGTACTGTTTGAGTTCGCGGCCTTGGGGGCCCCCCTAGTTAGTTTCTATCTCAACCCTCCCAGTCCCCTGCTGTCCACAAGTCCCAGACCTTCTCATATGATTTCATGGTGCCTCTCACCAGTGCCGTGAGGTGGTCCATGATCCGTGTATCTTTTATTTTATGAATTACCGTGTTTATCTGGGGGGTTGCGGGTTTAAGCCATGCCTGCGCCATGGTGAGTTGGGCCGCTAGGCTGCGGTTCCTGGTAATTTAATGCTTTTGTGATCCAGCCATCATGGTCTGTATTAGTACAATGACAAAGCCTGATTTAAAGAAAGCTTGGAGATGGAATGCCTAGATGTTTAGAGGAAGCTGTTGAATTGAAAAATAGCAGAAAAGAAAAAGAATGTGTAATGCAATTGAAAGTACAGCTTGCACAAAAGAGACAGAACGGAGACCCAGGGAGTAAAGGAATAAAGTAAAGATAATTTTCTTATTATGCCTTCACCAACTGAGAAAGTAGTTAAAAGTTTGGGAGAACTGGTACAGATTTGAAACAGATATGATTAAAAAACAAACAAACAGAGGAAGGGGTTGGGGGAGCTGCTTTTATAGCATGTAGACACAGCAGCTCCAGTATAAACATGTAGTAGTTATGGTGATTGGAGAGTCCCTTTAAATGTATGAGGAACTAGTGTTTCTGGTGTATATATGTGACAGTGTGACATATCTGGTATGAAAGAGTTTGCTGGGATTTACTACATTATTGATAAAGGAATGGGTATGCCATCCCTGGATATATCTGGAAGCCTTTTAAATGCTTTATTTTTAGGTGACATAAAGTACATATACTTTCTGGTCAGATTTTCTGGCCCAATGTGATCTTAACATACAAGGTATATAATATTGAATAAACATTATTTTCAAGTCTTTAGACAACTAGTGATACCATGATACAAAGTTACACAACCTTCAATAGTACACAATGGTCTCATCCTCTCTGGGTTGGTGGTGGTGCACAACTAGTCAACAATAGTTTATATGTTAATATATACAATACTGTAGACAAAATACTGGTCTAGCTGTATGATATACATCTTGGTGATGTACGCTCTGGATGTCGTGTCCCTGAACCTTGTTTTCTTATTCTGTACATTGTCATTGCAGCATCTTAATTCTGGGGGGTCTGGAAGCCTTTTAAATAGAAATGTGCACTGTAGATAAGAGAGAAGATAGGGAGAGTACAGTAATTGTAAGATTTTTCTACTAAACCCCATGCAATAATATTGAAAGGGAGGACCATGACAATTGTGGTTAAGTTTTAAGCATGCGAGATTTGAATTACTCAATTATTGATTGGTATATTGGGATTAGCAAGGTTGGAAAAGCTAAATGACAATCACGTCTTAATTATTGGAGGCACCGACTGGAATAGAGCCTGTCTGGATCTGGTAATATCTAATAACCAATAATTCAGAACTATTTTCAGTGCATTATGAGTGCTTTGTAATAAATATAAACCAAAACTAAATATATTGTAGGGGTCTTGCATGACTGGTCAGATCAGGTCTCCAAGAGGGAACATAGCAGATATTTAAGTTGACCTTTTTAAAGTGGATTTGTCACTTGCTAGGTTTTCTTTTACGTTTGATTGTTTTTTTACGGCATGTCAAAAGTCCTTCTCAGACATCCAGGTCTTTTTTTTTGTTTTGTTATTAAATTTCAATGACGATTATTTCTGTTTTATAAGTGAACTTGAAGAAAAGCAGATTGGGTCTCTGTTATGACATTCTAGTTTCACATATTATTTCTTGTCTTTTTATTTTTTTATATTAACTATTTACAGAAGCAAACAATGATAAAATGTGTTTATTTGCAGCTATAATTTACAGTTTTGTGCCTCCTATCTCACTAGTGTTGTGCTAGGGAATAAGATCTGCTGGCTGAGCTCAGCTAAGTTTGGAAGCCAGCCTGCCAACCATTATTGTTAATATCTCAGATTGTTAAACTGACTTTACAGCGTAACTGGATTCAGCAGCAGCACAACTAATTATTCCACCTAGTAAATCAAAATGATAGTTGTTAAAAATCAAGTAAAATGGGTCAGAAGCATCATATAGAATTTATAAGGATGACTGAATTTGGAAAAGTACTGATAGAGACCACCAGAGAATTATACCTCTAAATGCGTAAATAGTGGACTTTCTAGAGGAACGGGAAAATAAATGATTAACGCCCAAGTAATACAAAGCTATAGCCCTTGGGGATTGAAATAGTTTGCCAAAGCTTTAAATTAAAAGATTAATAAACTTAAAATATTCCATATATTATTTTAAATAAATAGCAGCTAGATTGATTACAGCATGCTAAAAAGTGCAAAAGCAGTCATAAAGTAAACTGAGCCGTGAGCGACAGAATAAACATAAAATATATTAAAATAATAGCAGATGGGGGAAAAAAACTTTTCACATGTCTTGTCTGTCCAGAGTTGATAGAATGCCTGGTCTCCCTATATATGTTTTGTAGGTTGACGCAGAAAAAAAATTATAAATTATTTTAAAACTTATATTAAGGGTGTATACATAAAGTTGTCACTAATGTCGAACTTTATTATGCTCCAATATAAGATTTTCATCTGCAAGACTGACTCAATCAGCCAGTTGCCTTCTTTTATTGGATTTTGTAGGGGTTCCTGCTTCCCCTATGAATGGAACACTAGTTTGTACAAAGACGGTTTTACATACAGTGATTTGTGTTTGGATTCCTTTTATTGTTATGCAATGAAAATTCTATGTAATAATAATAATAAGTATTAAAATATCTTAGTCTCATATTATCTACTATTCTAGTTTATCTTCTTCTTTTATAGTCCAACTTCTTCTCCATTTCTTCTATATTCCATTTTGTCTTTTCTGAACCTTTATTAGTTCCATTCCTAATTTTCACCACTTTCCTATGCCTTACTCCTCTTTTTGCCATGGATATATTTTTATTGATTTTCATCAAAAACAAAGAAAGACAATACAGTGTCAGTTGACACATAGCAGCGGTCGCGTATAAAACAGTGTACGCGACCTAACTAGGTATGATAACTAGATATGATTGCTATGACATAGACATATGATTGGCCTCCAGGACAGAGGTAGGGCGATACCCAAGGAGAGTTTCTGTTTTACGCATATATTAAAAGAGGTGATCCAACCTTGCTTATTCACCTTTTACTTCTATCCAGCATTCACATAAAATATGCACAATTATAATGCTTTAAATCTTTGAGTGATTATTATGTCACTATGTTTATTAAAACTGATTGTACTTTGTTCTACGATTATGCAAAGAGAGCAATATGTTTATTTTATTTTATATTGACATGTTTAGTAATGATTATTTTAAGAAATAAGGGCATAGTGCGGGCACAGATGTTGCTATGCCCCTTGACGCATTATTTGATGTAAATTAGCCCTGTTGTTGCAAAGGGCAAAAACTATTTGTGTGTTTTCAGTAATTGCTACGTGTGAATTGTTATTTTGTATTAAAACCCTTCTCAAAATGAATAACTCATTATTTTTAAAGTTTATCATCCAAATAAATCTGAACTGTAAAATTCATTGTGAATGTTCATTACTCTTAATTCTTTTTCCATTCTCCTAAAGCGAATTTAGTAAATATTTGCCCATTTGGAAATTTCTTACATGGGCGCGAGCAGAGGAAGCTGAACATTATAGGCTGTTTGTTTTTGGCACGGACAAATCGTAACTTCCTAATGTGTTTCTTTTGCAGCTCAATATTATGTAAATTATTTACGCCATCTGGATGTTTCTGATAGCATCATATTAAATCCAGTTCTTCGTTCATTTTATTACGCTAGCATCTAATCCAGCAAGGTTTAGGCCAGCCGAGGTAATGTATAAATCTTAGTATACCCTGAACATACTGCTAAACTGATGTGATGCTGTACATCCCGGTAATTGTTTGCAATTTATTACAGAATATTAATGTCTCTCTTGTGTCTGAAGGCATTAACTGTACTGTTTGCAATAATTTGATTAAGTACAGGGACATTTTAATTTATAAAGCCATGTTTTGCTCCACGGTTACAGAATCAAATGCAAATTTTTTTTATAGTCAGTATTAAATACATATCTTATTATACTACACTGCTGGCTACTTAGGCTTATAGGTATGGTGTATCTTTTAAATAATTAACTATTATTTAACTAATACCAGGGGAGGCTCGTCCATAGGGGGCAGCTGGGGCAGCATCCAGACAGTTTTTATGTGGGGGAAAAATATTTGCAATAGTTTTGGAATAGTAAGGTAAGAAGGGGCCATCTAAAAGAAATGTGTCTCAAAATAAAAAAGAACATATGTCTCCTTAATTCTGAAATAGTTTTCAGTTCCACAGGGCCCCTCCCTGCTTACTGGTTGCTCTTTCAAGAAGCTTTCTTGAGATAACCTAGGCATGTCAAAAAAATGGGACAGATTTGAAATGTGACCTGTTTCAGCAGGTTTTGCACATGCCTAGTCTCCTTTTGAGGAGGAATTTCAGTGGACTCCCGTTGGGTTGCCGTTGGGTTGCCATTCGGGCAGCAGAACCAGCTGCCCATGAGTGGAGGCATGCTATTGGACTCTTAGCACAAAGGGGTGGGGATACAGTGCCCACAGGAGAAAGAAGCAAGAAGCCGTCTTGAAAGTAGCAGACATAGAGTACAGCAGCTCCTGGGCCCTGCCAAATGTAAATGTACAAGATTATCATGTTCTCTCCCTCAATAACCTCAGTGTTTGCCCTCAGGCTGATTAGATAAGTACATTTGCTAAAATATGTATTTATTATATATATAAAGCCAGGGAAGCCCAGAGAGGACATGGGTCACTAATAGTTTAATAACTCATACAGCACAGTGCCCACTACCTCCTTTAAAGTGCTCAGTTACTCTGTAGCTGAGAACTGAGGAACGCACTGTGGCTAGTTGAATAGTTGTCAAGTTCCACACTGCAGGACTAGGGACTGTTACCCCATATTCATACTGCAGATTATATATATTTCCAGCTGCAAAGGTAATAAAGAGTCTATCAGTATCCTGCTGCATTAACTCAGCATACTGTTTCATAACAGCGTCAACATTCACTAGAAAGCTGTAGTTGTTATAGCAGGAGCACTGAGAGTAGAACAAGGAGGGATAGAGAGCAGGAGTTTGAAATTCCTGGTAATTTACACAGAGACACAGGGAAGCTGAATAAAGTGTTTTACTACTTCACGGTCGTCTCTCTGGTTACATTGAAGAGCCTTTACAGTTAGAGCAGGCTTCTCTGCTCTACAATTGTGAGTTTTATTATCTCCCCCTCTGGCATACTCGTACAATATTACCCTATGTTTATCTATTTCTGTTTTTACATGAGATATCCCTGATGAGAGTATGTATACAGTGTTCTTATACAGACACTATTTTTAAGCAACATCTTTCACTTGTTTTTGCACATGGTTGTGTTTGGTTATACAGTGCACTTTATTATGTTCGATTGCACAGTGCACTTTCACATATGTTTCTGTGATTCACTTTGTATACACTATGATGTGATTATATGTATGCACTTTATCATTGAGTGAAATCACTATTCACTTTGCAATATTTTAAAGGTACAGCGCACTTATTTATTTATTTTTTGTCTAGTTTTGTGTTTTCTTTTAGCTTTTACACATT